AGCTATACTTTCAGAAGCCAGAGCAACCAACTGTGTGTGGTTATTCTCAAGGTGAAGGAAAAGTGATAGAGATGGCTAGTGCTAGTGTTAGACTAGTCTTGTTGGCTATTGACCGTCTTTTTGTCCAAGGCAGCTAGACTGCTTTAAGGGAGAGCCCAATTTGCTAACAGTAATAGTTACAAATTTAACAGATGTGAAGAAGTGAGTTCCCCTTATCTGTGCCAGAACAAAGAGACATTTACAAAGATATTCAAGTAGCTTTGTTTTTTATCATTGAACTGACAAAAAATAATGTATAGCCATACATTTCTGCACATGTAATAGGATAGTATACAACAGAGATATGAAGAGATTCTGCCACCTGTAAGTTTTGAAAGACCAAATAAAGTCTAAGTAAGAGTCACATGACAACAATAAAAAGTCCTACTTAGCTTAAAGAGCAATGTAGATTACAAAAAATGAAAGCAGTATGATGTTGAGAGTTCCATACAACATTAGATTTTAAAGAAAGTTAAAGTAATGATGAAATAAAAATTTGGAGCGTGTGAGGTCAGAAGCATGAAATAGGAAGGAACAGGTGTTGAGCACACAGGTGATATCGGTGTCCTGGTTCTCACCTCTGGTGACAAGAGCGCAGCTACTCAGAACGAATGACTCAGAGAGGAAAAGATGCTGAACCCATAGCCCAAAAATAGGATAAAAATTCAAAAATCTGGTTAGGAAAAATGGAAAAGACACATTCCAGGAAAGGGAGATAAAAGGGAATTTTTGAAACAAATACTGTACTATTCGAAATTGAAAATGTTCATGAGAGAGCTAAAAGATAAAAGAAGGACACTACCCCAGCCCGGCTATAAACAATAAAGACTTTAATTGTTTTGAGAATGCCATAAATGAATACAGTATTGATATCATTTCCACCTCTGTCTCTCAGTCCTCTAACTCCTCCCCTGTCCCTGTCTACTCCCTCTCAAATACCTTCTGTGATTACTGTTCCGTGCATACATGGACACGGACACACAAAACCTACTTAGTTCATTTACTAGTTGCTAGACTGTGCATGAGTTTAGGGCTGATCAGTAATGAGAAGTGATTGATGAAAACTGATTCTCTAGCAGCCACTGATTGCCAGTAGCTCTTCGTACACTGTGGGACATTATGAGATTTCCCCATCCACGCTGACATGCCAACTGGTGTTATTATGTAGGTCGGGTCTTATTGTTGCTATTTCATGGGTACAGCAAGAAGAGGAAAAAGAAAGACAGAGGATCTAGAGAGTCCCGGTGCTGAGCAACAGAAGTTTTGGAGACAGGAAAGAAAAGAAAACAGTCTAAGACACAAAATGAATGCTTTGGAAGTTAGGGTTTCCAAGAGCCAGGGATGAAACCCAGCAATTAGAGCATTCGCCTACCATGTTTAACCTCCAAGATGAAAATTTGATTAACGAATACTATATTAAGAGACCTATGGAGTGAGAAAGAGTAGATGAGAGCCTATCCACAAGAAATATCAATTGTGTGATTTCATATAACAGAGAAGAGAAAAACATAAAAGGTTCTAGAAAAAAACAAACAAAAAACCAAGCTCCACACAACACATGGGTTTGTCTTTCTGTGCTTTTCAATACAATAGTTTGTCTAGAAACAAATTAGTCCTTAATACATAATTTTTGGTCTACACAAACTAAATTAAGGGAGATGATGGAAGATATTTTTGAAAGATATATTTATCAAAAGTTTAAATTCCATATTCCCTTTCCTTAAAGTAGAAGTTTCACAAAAGCAGAAAAACTAGACCTTGGAAAGTGTGTTCAGTGCAGAGTGAGTGAGGTTTCCCTGGATGATGGTGAAGGAAGATTTCATCTGCCATCTTAGACAGCACTTAGTCCACACTAGAGGAAAAGAAATAGGGAATAGGTCTAATGTAGGGTTGTTGATCCACCCCAGGGCATGGCTGCTTGGAGAGGCAGAACTCAGGGAGTTTGACTGAGCTTATCTGCCACCACTGCCAGGGCGAATGCTAGGCTATAGGGAAGCATGAGACATGGCTCCAGGGGTGGGAAAGTGCAGTCTGAGCTATAGGAAAGCCTGAGCTGGTTTGGGGATCCCCCCCGGCCTGCAAGGAGGGCAGGGGGTTCTGCAAGGAGGAGGGATTCTCAGACTCTTGGACATCCAGGAACAGTTGGGAGTCCAGGAAGAGCCTAGAACTGAGTTGGGGGCCTGAGGGCTGAAGACAGCATCTAACCCAGGGTTGTGTGGGGTGGTGGCTGGGGGAGAGGGTTGGTAGGGGGCTGGATGAGAGGGTGGGGGGCTGGTGGGGGATGGATGAGGGGGATGAGGAGGCTGGTGGGGAGGGCTAGTGGAGAGGGGCAGGTGGGTGTGGGATGGGAAACAGGGGGTGGGTAGGTGAGGAGGGCAGAGGGCGAGGGGGTGGGCGGGCAGGCAGGGCAAGGTAGGGGGAGAGAAACTCCAGCTTGTCCCATGGGTCATAGTCCTTAGCTTGGTGGAGGCAGGCTTAATGACAGTCGTGGCTGGGAGTGTAGACCTTCTATGAGAGATTAGGCTGTGGCTCTGCAGACGAAGGCCTTCTTCTTGGCTCCCCATGATGGATCTTGATGAAAAGAGACAGTCTATGGTTCTAAACTGTTTATTGTCATGGCAGAAAATGGACACATAAAACCATACCCCATTTCTCAGGGTGGGTCTGAGATTAAATACCTTTTGCAGAGAGGAATGTCTGGAAAGGGAAGCTTATTGGCTAAGCCCTCCAGGCCTCTAGGTACCTCATTAGCATGGAGAACTCTGGGGCCTATGTGACCATAGGACATGTTTCTTTTAAGTGAGAAGCATGGCACGGGTTTCAAGCCAGGAGTCTGACAGGGAGCTGGGAACCACCTAAGTCTCAGGTGTGTGCCCACCAAGTCTCCGGGTCTCAACCTCCTCTACCTTACCAAACTTCCTGGCATGGTTTTAAGGCCCAGAGTCTAGAGAACATACCTCTTAGGAATGAAACTGACAGAAGGACTAATCTTGCTGGTTTTATACCTCTGGAATCTGGTGACTCAAGTCAGGAATAATGTAAACAGTATAAATTAATGCAAGAAGAAAAAGGTTGTCACTCTTCTAAGATGAAGTCAAGTGGTGGCTGAAACTAGTAGATGATTTCTCACAAAAAAGAAATCCCTGTGAAACCGCAGAGCAGGGCTAGTGTGGTGTGCCACAGTCCCAGAAACCTGGGCCACTTCTCCTTCATCTCACCACGTTCAGTCTCTGCCTTCTAACCCAACTAGGTGCTTAAGCCCCGGCACCCACGGCTGTCAATCAGACACGGGACAATAAAAGAAACAAGCTCATTTCTCTCCCTCTTCAGATCACTTACATCACTCTGCTGACATTTCCCAGAGGTGAAGACCACCCATGGCCATAGCAAGCTAAGTTTTCTAGTACTGATGTTTTTTAAGGCCAATGGAATGAATGGATACACACACACACACACACACACACACACACCTTTTTAAACTTCCTTTGGCACTTTTAATTCTTTGTATTCTACCATATTGCTCTCATTCATATTGCTGACTAATTTCCTCAGAAACAGAACATACTAGATCCAGGGCCCAGTGAAAAAGATACCAACATTCACATATGCTCAAGTCCCTTCTACAGTGTTTATATAGAGCATACACTTGACTTCCTGTATCTTTAAATCATCTCTATATAGCTCGTGTCGTGTAAACACTTGTGATACTCCATTATCTGTCTCGGTAATGCAAAAGAAAATGTTTGCATGTAGCCAGAACAGATTCTTCCCCCCACTATTTTGTTTTCTCTGGTTAAATCCACAGAGGCTGGTCTCAGCTACATGAAATTGATTGTATTTTTCTCTTTGGTCATTTTTTTTTCTGCAAACTGTAAGCTTCAATAGGAAAAGAACTTTTTCCTACTTCTATAGTTTCTGGGAAAGTACCCACAGCATAAAAGAAATGCAATAAGCATTAATTGAATAAGCAAATGAACTGTTAACTCGAGGCTGAAAAAAAAAAACAGTCTAAGTGACAGATTTTAATCAAGTAGATTACATAAATGATGCTTCATTTACATTTGCTGGTTTAAGAAATAGCATCTTCAGAAAAAAAGGCGAAATTCTTACAGAATGACTAATTAAAAAAAAAACACCTCCCTCACCTAATTTAAATTCCTTCCACAAGGAATCCCAATGAAACCATATCTGATAACCCTATAATCCTTCCGTCTCCAATGATATAAGGAATGTTACTTCAGTGGATGCAGTATTAGCAAGAAGTTATAAATTATACTATAGTTTAATGCAGGAATTATTTTAAACACTAAAGATAGATGCCTCTAGGCAAGTGCTATGAAGTGAGTTAAAGTCTCATCTTTCTAGTACATGGACATTATTTGTAAATAGAAAACTACAAAAACGTCAGAGTATACCCTAACAGGGACATAACCATAGAGGGGAAAAACAGCTTTAACATGTTAGATGAAGTTCTTCTGAGCACCACCAATCCAACAAGGAGGACCTCAGAGGTCACCCATTTAGGAAGCATAGAGGAATTTACTTTTGCTCCTTCTGTGTATGATTGATTGTAAAGGTCTCATTTTAGGCCTGTGATCCCACTGTTCTCGGCACCAGGAAAATTAACGTATCTTTATTCTGAGCCTCCCAAGCTATGCTGGGGTTCAACAGGGATACAGAATACCGGTGATAAAGGTGAAGGCTTCTGGGCAGTATGACTAGATCACCCCCACCTCAAGATTTTAAAGCACCCGCATACATCCAAGCCTCGCCCAGCGTTTTGTAGTGTTAGTGTCCTGAGTGTGTGGGGGAAGGGGAAGCGTAAAGTGGTGGCTCAGAATGTGGAACTGCCCCAAACTCAGAGTTCTGCTCATTGCAACATCACCTCTGATGTCAGGACCAGAACCTTATAGAACAAAAGGCAAGCAAAGGATCAGAGCTGACACCACAGACCTTACAGTGGGTCCTCTGCTACCCGGAGAAGGGCGGAGCCGCTCCACGGAGCCCCGCCCAGTCCTTCGTGGACCAAACCGAGCAGGAGCAGGCACCAGATAGCAGGGACAGCGCGTGTCCCAGCACGTGTCCCAGCACCAGACGTCTGTCTTCCTGCGCTCCAGGCCGCGCCATGCTTGCGCTCCGAAGCAGCCTGATGAGGATGCTGGCCCCGTGGGCTCTGGCGCGTCAGGTAGGGGCCACTGAGTCGCAAGCAGGAAAGTGGGCGGAGCTGTGAGGGGTGCTAGAGTACTGCGCAGGCTGTTAGAGCTTGTTGTGGCTGGCGCAAGTAGGATGTCTCATTTCCCAGGTACCAGCATGTTGTGGCATGGGAGGACCTTGTCAGTCAGGGCGGGACTGGAGCTTCTGGAAACTGGACTAAGCTGTGATGAGACCTTCACCAAAGGGAGCCTACCATTCAGCCCTAGCTGTTGAGCACTGGCTTATCCAGGGAATAAACTCAGTATTTTGGTCCAGACTTTTACTTACCCTAGTGGAGGAAGAAGAATCAGGTTCCTAGTCTAGTGCCAAGTAAACCCTGAAGAAGAGACTAAAGGCTACTACTCATCCAGTGCTGTCCATGTAACGTCACCAATCGTTTCCTTACGCTATTTCGCTGGCTTTGTTTGGTTTTTGAATTTAAATCAACATTTTCTTTAATGAGTCAGTGCTGGCAAGATAAGTCTTAAATTGGGCATAATGAAGTATATGACTTTTCTCCAGTGTAATTCTGACTCTGCAACAGAAATCTAGAAAACGTTTTTTTATCTAGTCACTCACACACTTCCTCCTCTCTGTAGGTTTCCTCCAGTGTATCATGTCCAGGAAACTATAAAAGTTTGTGGCCTTGACAATTATTGCATTCTTCAAATGCACACTCACTCTTTGAATCAACCTATAAAGTATTGTTGTGAATGCCACTGGCTCACTTCCTGATGTTTTATTCATTTTTAAACTATAGATACTAAGCACTTGCTCTGACTGTCCCATTAGTAGATTTTGGTTTAAAGCACAAAAAGAAATGTCCATCAAATGCAAAAATGGCTGCAGATTTTTATAGGAATTTTACTGTTTTGAGCAATTGTGGTTTGGATAAGTATGGCCCCAGTAGACTCATGTGTTTGAATACCTTATTGGAGTAGGTGTGGCCTTGTTGAAAGAAATGTGTCACTGTGGAGATGGGCTTTGAAGTCTTATATACACTCAAGCTACACCCAGTGTGGCACAGAGTTTCCCTCTGCTGCCTGTGGATCAAGATGTAAAACTCGAAGCTCCTTCTTTAGCATCATGTCTGCCATGCTTCCTGCCATAATAACAGGGACTAAACCTCTGAAACTGTAAGCCAGCCCCAATTAAATTTTTTCTGTATAAAGTTTCCATGGTCATAGTGTCTCTTCACAATAAAACTCTGTCAGTTGGTACCAGGAGTGGGGTACTGCTATATTCTTTGGATATTTTGGCAAAGAATTTGGTTGCATTTTGCCCTTGTCCAAAAAAGAATACCTGAGGCTAAAGTGAAGAGTTTTGGATTAATTGGTTTGGTAAAGGAAGCCTTAAAATAGCCTAGAATAGACTCTATCATATGGTTACTAATGTTCACTCTTACAAAGAGCATTTTGATAAAGAAGAGCAAGCTAACCAAGGAAAAATACAAAATATATGATTCTAGGAGAAAGAGGGCACCAGGAAATGAAATAGAGCTAAATCCTGTCTTCAAGATATTAAATGAATAAAAAGAGTGGAGACCTCGTTGCAAGATCCCACACAGCTAAATTTCCATCTTGTGAGAAGAAATTAAAGAACAGTTTAAGTCCAGGCATCTTGGTACATAATTTTAATCCCAGCACTCAGGAGACAAAGATATGCAGATCTCTGAGTTCAAAGTCTGTCTACTGGGCATTTTCCAGGACATCTAAGCTTAGGCAGTGAAGGAAACCACATGATCCAGAAAATCAATAAAGATGTAATTGAATGAGAGGGCCATGTCCCAGCCCTAGCAAGCTGTAGAATTTGGCAACTTTGGCCATGTAGTTCTGGCTTCTGAGCCAAGAATAAGAGAAAGAGGTTATGGAATTTCCCACTGTAACTGAGGAAAGTTGCTGAGGCAAGGTGTATGACTGGGGTTTCTCTGCATGGAGGCCTAAAAAGGCCATTGTTTGAAGCTGTAAAGATGGATCCCCCAAAATATCATAGAAGCATGAGCCATAGGATAATCAGTGAGGAAAACAACTGACAGGAGTGGAATCAACTCAAAAGAAAGAAGTGTGTTGCAGTCAACAAATCTGGAAGGTGTTGGAGATCTGAAGAGTGCTTTGACATCAGACATGGAGATGCTTGAGTTTGGAGTTCGCCCAGCTGGTTTTTGGTCTTGCTTTGGTTCAGTATTTCCTCACTATGCTCCCTTTCCTATGTTTTAGAACAGTAGTACATATATTGTGACATTATATGTTGGAAATATGTGATCTGGTATTTTTATTTATTTTTATTTTATAGGAAATTACAGTTAAGAGATTATGTGAATCCTAGAAGAGACTTTGAACTTTGGACTTTTAAACATTGTTGAGACTGTGATAGACTATGAAGAAATGCATTTTACATTATATTATGGCTACAAGCCTATGGGAGTCAGGGAGTGGGATGTGGTGGTTTGAATAGGTATGGCCCTCATAGACTCATGCGCTTGAATGATTGGCTCATAGAGTGGCCTTTTTGAAGTAGGTGTGGGCTTCTGAAGTAGGTGTGACCTTGATGGAAGAAGTGTGTCACTGTGGAGGCAGGCTTTGAGATAGATCTTTTATATGCTCAAGCTACCCTCATTGTGGCTCACAGTTTCCTTCTGTTACCTGTGGATCAAGACGTAGAACTCTCTGCTCCTTCACCAGCACCATGTCTGCTTGGATGCTTCCTACCATGATGACAGTAGACTAAACCTCTGAAACTGTAAGCCAGCCCCAGTTAAATGTTTTCTTTATAAGAGTTTCCATAATCACAGTGTCTCTTCACAGAAATAAAACTCTAACTAACACAAGCAGTAAGAATATAGTTTAAAGTACAAATCAATGGAGTGAACTAAAGGGAGAAAATTATATTAAGTTTTAAATAAAGTAGTGTTTTATAAGTAAAAACTTAGCAAGAGGAAAAAGACTTCTGCTCAGACCAAGTTGTCAATATATACAGTGATTTTTCCGTACTTTGATATTCATTTGATCTGCTTTAGCAGATTTTTCTGGTATTACTAACTCCATGAAATGGATGCATGATAACCCAACTTGAAAATAAGAAGGGTTTTTGTTATATGTATACATATGTGTGTGCATATGTACAGACACATCCTCAAGGTAATTTCCAACAAAGTATTTCCTAGGGAAAAATGCTCTCAGAACAAAAAGCAGACACTTACATAGTAATTTAAAAAAAAAAAAAAGATTCTTGAGAAGCGTTTCTACCATGTTGGTATAACTGAATGCATTAAAGCCCATCTTCACTCTACGTTTCTCATAAGAAACTGAGAGTGATCCAGGCAGCTCTGGCAATGATCTTTTAGTGTCCATGTTCTGTTTCAGTACTCCTCAACCTGTGGGTCATGAACCCTTTAAGGTCACATTTCAAATATCCTCCATATTAGATATTTACATTACTGTTCATAAGAGTAGCAAAGTTGTAGTTAAGAAGTAGCAACAAAATAATTTTATGGCTGGGATCACCACAACATGAGGAACTGTATTATAGGGTCCACAGCATTAGGAAGGTTGAGAACCCCTGGTCTATTACCAAATGTGTGATGCAGTTGGAGGGATAGCATCCTAGTGCATTGCCTACATTCCAGTTCTATTTTTGCTGAATGTAGGAACAATTATTTGACCTGAACAGCAATTTCTCTTTTTAAGAAAAGTTTTCTTTAAGCCAGGCATGGTAACATATGCCTTTAATGCCAGCAGTCGGGAAGCAGAGACTAGCAGATCTCTGTAAGTTTGAGGCGAGCTTATTCTACAGAGTTCCAGGACAGACAGGACTGTTACATAGAGAAATCTTGTCTCAAAAAAAAAAACAATTTTTCTTTTAGTAAACATGTTTATTGTATATGCCCAAAGATATACAGTCTACAAAGTTCTTTCAGATATGAAGCTCTACTCCCATACACGATGGATTAAAAGAATATAAGGGGAAACAATTTATGTGATTCTCTCCAGGCAGTGGTGACACAGGCCTTTAATCCCTGCACTTGGGAGGCAGAGGCAAGTGGATATCTATGAGTTCTAAGCCAGCCTAGACTACAGAGTGAGTTCCAGGACAACCAGGGCTACACAGAGAGACTTGTCTTGAAAAAACAACAACAACAACAACAAATCCTAATTGATTCTCTATCACAGGAAAATTTCTAAGGTAGCATTGCCTTACTTTGGGGCAACTTTCCATGACAAGGTGGCTTAAGGAGAACTCACATGTTTAACAGTAGATGTCTTTGAATCTACTAAAACACATCTATGGAGAGTTGAAGAGAGAAATGGAAACAGGGATTCTGAGTCAGCCCCAGGTTTGGCTGGAAAGATGTCCAAATTCTACCATCCCTCAAATACTGAGATTTGGTTTCTCTTTCTTCAGGTGTGCTCATCTTTTACTGTTGACCACAAACAACGAGAAGGAACATTCTATGAGTTTTGTACTTATTATCTTAAACCCTCAAATGTGGAAGAGTTCCTGCACAATTTTAAGAAAAATGTTCATCTTCGGACAGCACACTCTGAATTGGTTGGATATTGGAGTGTAGCATTTGGAGGCAGAATAAACACAGTATTCCATATTTGGAAGTATGGTATGAGTCACCCAGTTCAAGTGTTCAATATAGATTTTTATTCTCATAGACGCTACATGAGTCTTAGATGGATATACATTAGCATAGATACAGATTAAGGAGAATATTTTTTTTTAAGTGTACAGAGTCAAAAAGTAAATTCACAACCATTCTTCTTGGTCCATCTTTTATAACACTTTTACAAAATCTAACATTATAAGCTGGGAAATTACGAGTTAAATTTTAGACTACTATTCTCAAAAACATAGTGACTTATTGGAGCACTGATTTAATGCAAGACTTAAAACTGTCCACAAAAGCCCATTTAGGTTAATATCACAGAATGAAAGATGTATCTGATGCTAGACCTGATTATTGATCGACGTCTTAGTGGATACAGGCCACACATTCAGGACTTCAAGTAAATGGAGGCTGAGAGAGGATGACAGCCAACCTTAACCTTCCCTCAGCCCTCATTATTTTCAGTTCATTTCTTCATCCCAGAGTGTTACAGAATTCACTTCCATACTACCTTATGAATTTAAAGAATGTTACCTTAACATTACTAGGTGTTCTTCTCCTACTGAACCTACACTGCTTTGAAAAAGGAGAACAAATTAGAGAATTATTCAGAATGTTGGTTAACTTTAAAAATCTAATATTAACAGCCTACATTGGGATTTGGGCATGTTCAGCAAACTCTTAATGACTAATTGCATTTAGTGTTTGGTCATCTATGTTCAATTAATATTCATGCAATTCTTTAATGAAAAAGACTCATTCTATGGATGACATGGGTATACTTTGGGTTTGGTTGGATTTTGTTTTGTTTTGCTTTGCTTTGCTTTTTTCTGTTTTGAAAGACAGAAGACACCAGTAAAACAGCTTACACTTCAAATGTGGTTCCTGTTAAACCATGACCCACTGAGAAACATTAAGTCCTGTTTACCTCACTTTACAATGTAAAACAGGTGTTATCTCATATCCCTCGAGTAAGCTATATAAATACTTTGCTTTAGTCTCAGGAGGTCTTTACAATATAGTACTAGGCCCATATGTTATTAAACATGTCTGCCTGTTTTGGTGACTTAGAAAGCAGAGAAATGAATGCTGGGAGAAATGATGGGTGACCATAGTAAGGGAATCAGCACTAGTTCGTTGGAAGTTATTTATTCAAAAGAAAGGATACCAAGTACATTCAAGTTTCTCTTAGGTTAACATATATTCAAGATATATCTTGACCACTAACATCACTACCAAAGTAGAATTTTTCTTTCAGCTGACACAGTCCGTTGAATGCCTCAGTTAAATAATAAGATGAGTCCACATGGAAGTGTTAAACACTGTGGTAAGCCACAAACCTGAAAGCTGACATTATACCATTTACCATGTCACAGACTGAGAAACTTAGCTCCTGTCCACAGCTTCCTTCAAAGTCATTCAATGACTTTGAAGTGCAATAGTTGTTTCTCTTTCTTTCACCCTGAAGACCAGGAGCAACTTGATACTGATGTCACATCTCCTCACATGGCTGTCCCCAGATTCACAACATGGTGTGCTTGCATGCTCCGGGTTAATGATTTGGGAGTGAACCAAAGAAGCATAGATGATTTTTAAGTCAATTTAAAAAAAAAAAAACATTTTTTTCCATGTTTTTCTACTGAAGATAATTATGCTCACCGTGCTGCAGTGCACAATATCTTGGCCAAGGATAAGGAATGGCAAGAACGATTCCTCATTCCAAATTTGCCTTTCATTGATAAACAAGAGAGTGAAATTACATACTTGGTACCATGGTGCAAAATAGGAAAACCTCCGAAGGAAGGTGAGACTGTCTTAGGCACTGTGAATTGTCATGACTAAAATAGTACATATTTTAAGTTCTAATGTGCTTTGAGACTGAGGGAGACTCCCTTTTACCTGTGGACATAAAAGATTGTTGAGATAAAACAAAGTACACCTCTTTGTTTTATCCTTTATCTTTTTTTCCTGAAGTAGGGTTTCTGGCTGTCCTGGAAACTTGCTCTGAAAACCAGGTTGGCCTCGAACTAACAGAGATCCTCCTGCCTCCAAGTGTTGGGATTAAAGGTGTGGGCCATCACCCCCTGCTTCCTTTATCCTTAAAAAGTGAGGATTAATGAAGAATTCTTCCCACTTGAGGGTTTTGGGAGTTGTAAACCTTATCTATGTTATAGAAAATGTCACATGGTCAGTAAAGGTTGAAAACTACACAGTGAGAACCAGGGACTATGCATGAGACAGGGAGGGATCATACATGATATTCTGTCATCATTTTAAAACAATATTAGTATTTAAATATAAACTGTATTATATAGAGATATAATAAATACATTGAACATATATCTATAAATTATACTTCATTTTAAACTTTAAATCACTGTATGCATTTTCCTGCAAAACTGACTATTTAGAGGAACTGATTAAGTGGAATTGCCAAGCTTGTTGGCATGGGCGCTGGGAACTGAACTCTGATCCACCTCTAGAGCAGTACGTGCTCTTAACTGCAGAAGCATCTCTCCAGCTCCCACTGGATCCTCACTTTCTGTCATCTGTGTAGTTAATATTAATAGCATAGATAAGTTTAAACATGGACAAGGGATTTCTAAGCATAAAATCAATGGAAAATAACACAAATGTAATTACTGCATCTGTGTAAATGTGTATACATGTACAATCCTTCAAATATGAGCATGCAGAACAGGCTTTTACTGAAACCAAGTGAATATAAGTATAAATAGAAATTCCTTGGCTATCATCAACTTTAAAATTGTTTTTTTCCAAAATCCAGGAGTCTATGAACTGGCTACTTTTCTCATGAAACCTGGTGGCCCAACTCTATGGGGTGACGCATTTGAAAGAGCAGTAAATGCCCATGCTAATCAAGGCTACGTTAAACTAATTGGTGTGTTCCATGCAGAGTATGGATTGCTCAACAGAGGTACAGCTGTATATTTCTTTTTAAATTTCTGTGTATGTTGGTGCCTTATTCATTGACTAAGATGTGTTGGTTACAGTTTATATGTTATTGACAAGATCATGTACAACTTAATTTTAAAGAGTTGAGACATTGTCTCTCATTTATAATATAACACCCACTAAAACTATTTTGAAATACTAAACTTCTATTTTCTCTGACACAGAAAATGAAAAACATTTAACTACAAGAGCCTCAAGAAATACTTTATTCCTTTTACAATCTTTTTATTCCTCTAAATATATTATTTTCAGTACCAGGGATTGAACCTAGGACCTTCCACATGGTAGGCAAGTGCTCTACTACTGAGCTATATTCCCTGTCCTAAATAGGTTTCTATTGCTGTGATGAAACAGCAGGACCAAAAGCAACTTGAGGACATGAGGGTTCACTTCAGCTTATCCTTCCAGTTAGTAGTCCACCATGAAGGAAACTCAGGACAGGGACTCAAGGCAGGAACCTGAAGGCAGAACCTGAAGCAGAAGCCATGGGAAATGTTGGTTACTGGCTTGTTCCCCATGGCTTCCTGAAATCTGCTTTCTTACCCTTCCCAGGTTCACCTTTAAGCCAAGAGTGACACCATCCTCAATGGTGTGGTCTTTTCCACACCAGTCTTCAGTCAAGAAGAATGCTCCACAGGCTTGCTTGTGGGTCATTCTGATGGGGCACATTTCCTCAGCTGAGGTTCTCTCTTCTCAAATGTCTCAAGCTTTGTGTCAAGTTAACAAAACAAAACAGAATACTAACAAAATTGAATCATCTGTCAAGTTGCCATGTAAACACACCATGATAATCAACTTTCCTTTCTTGTTTGTCCCTGTCTTAGTCAGAGTTTCTATTCCTGCACAAAACATCATGACCAAGAAGCAAGTTGGGGAGGAAAGGGTTTATTCAGCTTACACTTCCATATTGCTATCCATCACCAAAGGAAATCAGGACAAGAACTCACACAGGGTAGGAACTTGGAGGCAGGAATGGATACAGAAGCCATGGAGGAATACTGTTTACTGGCTTGCTTCCCCTGACTTGCCCAGCTTGCTTTCTTATAGAACCCAAGACTATCAGCCCAGAGATGGCACCACCCACAATGGTCTAGGCCCTCCTTCCTTGATCACTGAGAAAATGCCTTACAGCTGGACCTCATGGAGGCATTTCCTCAAGGGAATTTCCTCCTTTCTCTGTGATAACTCCAGCCTGTGTCCAGTTGACACACAAAACCAGCCAGTACAGTCTCCAAGATATGTTGTTAATATTACCACAGTATAAAACAGTATAACTTTAAAACTCACAAAGTCTTTAAAAGCTCAATCTCTTTAAATATCCAAAGTCTCTTGTAAAATCAAAAAGAAGTTACTTTCTTATTCCAAGACGGATGAACCAGGCCACAGTATCAATTAAATTCAAAGCAAACTCAAAGTTCAACCGTATAAAAAATTCAGTGCCTGACATCTGGGACCTACTCCTGGATCTTCTGGGCTTCAAGGGGCCTTGGATGCTCTAGTTCTCTAGTTCTGTCAACCTCAGCCTGCACAGCTTACCTCTCGGCCCACTCTGAACCACTGTCCTCGGTAATCATCCCACTCTCCTGGCATCTCCAATATCTCTGCTACAACTGGAGCTGCAGTCTCACCAATAGCCTTTCCTGGATGTTCTTCAGGCACTTCAGACCAACTACACAGTGCCAAGTCTCAGCTGCTCTCCATAACTCCTGTATGCCCTCAAAACCAGTACCACTGGATGACCCTTATACGCTCACTACCAAGTTCAGCTGCCAGCACAAGATGGAAAAATAACATGAAACATAGTAGGAAGTCATACAGTTTAGATCTTGAATTCCTTTAGCTATCCTACTTTACTTTGCTTTTCAATTCTGTTTCATTTCTTCATCTATAAAACCGGTTTGACTAGTTAACCTACAACCTTCCCTGCCAAGTCTCTGATGTCTCTGAAATCTTACCATTGACCCATTTAGTATCACTCTTTTAACTTGAAATCATTGGACTTTTTAAAACTTAATTTCTCTGTATGTATGTGCAAATGAAAGAGTTTTTGATTTGCTTCTGCAGTTCATGTTCTGTGGTGGACTGAGAATGCAGACATTCGGGCAGCTGGGAGACAACGAGCACATGAAAATCCCAGACTCGTGTCTGCTGGTGAGCTGTTTCATGAGGCAAGAATTCTTTTCAGAACCAGTTCGATACATCTGATAACTTTATGTGTTTCATGAAATGTCTTTCCAGTTCGGGAAAGTGTCAACTACCTCAATACTCAGCAGAATATGTTCCTGATTCCTTGGTCGTTTTCACCACTGAAATAGTTTCCTACCGACTGTTTTAGTAGCTGATGTGAGATGTGTCAGCGGCCAGTGCTTCAACTCTCTCTAGAGAATTATTTCAACTTTTATTAGAAGAAAGTGGTAAGTTAATTTACTATGCATTTTTAAAGCCCATTGAGGGCCCTTTTATTAAACCCATCTCTACATGGGAAATAGAGTTTATTTCCCCATGTATTAAAAATAACTAATTTTAAAATAATGTTATTTTGTCCCAATGAAATTTTGAAGACCGTTTGGTTTATAAACTGGATTGCCTTATTGTTTTTACTAGTATTTACTTCATTCAGAGCCTTTGTAACAAAGATACTTAGTCATTAGATCAAGATCCTTGTTCTTCATTTGTTTCAGAATACCTCTTCTGTAAGACAACCCTTTGTTCAAAGAGATCACATTTCCAAGTTTGTGACCATATTTTTAAATTATTAATAAATGTATGAACCATTTTAATCTTATCTTTTTGCCTGAGATGTTTTTGGCTTCAGTGGTTTATTTCATAATACCAAATGGGATTCATGAAAATATTATTTAAATATATATATAACTGTATAATGATCTGTGTTGTCTGTATTAATCATCAGTCACTCACTTAGAAAACAATAGATCCCCCTGCCTGGTCCTCTGGGCTGGAGCAGACACAGAGTCGGTCTGCT